ATGTTCACAGGAATATTATTCGTAATATCAAAAACTGTAAGCAGCTCAAAATTTGTTTATACAATGGACTAAGAATGAATAAATTACAACAATATATGTGTGCATGTTACATTAATGTATAAAAAGAAGCCAGGCACAAAAGAGTACATATGGTATGATTCCATGTTTCTAATTAAGTTTACAAATGGCAAAACTAATCTAGAGAGTTAGAAGTCAGGATCGTCGTGACCCTTTGCCAGGGGAACCGTGACTGGAGTGGGCCCCTTAAGGTGCTCCTGGTATCTTGTTTCTTGATCTAATTTGGTGGTTACATGGGTGTACTTTCATTGTGAATATTCAGCTCTGTGCTTGTAATTTATGTATTTTTGTCTATGTATGTTAAACTTCAGTTTAAAAATTACAGTAGATCAGAAGTCTTGAGAATTTGGTAAATGATAAGTCACTTTTTCTACATGCTAGATCGACTTAGAATTAAAGATTTCATACTTAAAAAAAAAAAGCAGAGGGTGTTACACTACAAGCTGCAAAATTAACCAGTCTTGCTTCTGATCTTAAATTGTGTCTTCAGAGAAGCAAAGAACTATCAAGAGCTACAGATAAGCACCTTGGGCAGCATACTTTGAAGTAATCATTAGTTTTCATTTATCCTGCCACTTGACATACATTATGACAGATTACATGGACTACATATAAAGTTATATATAAAAGTGTAATTTGGAGTTTGTGGAATCAGTCTTTTTAACTTTCCTCAGAGTAATATATTGTCATCTTGCAGACCAGATCTGGTGGTTGTAAAGTTTGGTTGAAGACAAAGTTTTATGTGATCCAACTGTGAGATGTTAAGAGGCAAGTTTGAAGATGCTTGAATGAGCATTAGTTGTAATTGATGCTTGTTGCTTTGACTGCATGTTGGTTTGCTTGATGCTGTTTTAGTAACTTAGTGAGTTTCATCTTTAAATGGAATTTATGTTATTTAGTCTGCATTGTGCCAAGACTGATGATTGAAAACCGTACACTTTCACAGAACATTGCTTCGTAGCTCTTCCCTTTTCTGCTATTTTTATATCACATGAATCATTGCACATTAAGCCATCTGCAAGGCCTGAATGGAATGAGATAAAAAGCTGCCATCACTTAAATTGACACTTGAAAAGCTGGTATTCATTTGGAGTTTATTCCTGATTATCCTTTATATTTTAAAGTTTCAAACTTCATTTCAAGATGGTTGCCAACATCTCTGAGCCAAAAGTATCTCTGATTCACAGCTTCTTTTAGCCTGAAAGTCAAAGGAGGGGATTCATCCTGTCACCTAGCAGAATCTGTTGGGGACTCACTTCTGTCTCATTTGAGAGAATAAGAACAGCAAGTTCAACTCCTGTGTTAAAAGTATGTTGGTTTAATCAGCTCAGCAAGCCATACGGTTTTGCATGGACTTCATAGGGAATAGTAAAAACACAAGGCTCTTCAATTGCCAGATGAATACATCAAAATTGCATGCCTAGAATGTGTCACACCTGTTAGATATTTATCAAAAATTTTCTTAACATAACTTTTTTGAGGATTTGGTGAAAAACAATTAGATAAATGCATGCCTGGGATGTTGCAAAAGAGATTCATGATTAAAAATGAATATTAAGCCGGGCGTGATGGTATGTACCTGTAGTGCCAGCCATTTGGGAGGCTGAGGTGGAAGGATCACTTGAACCCAGGAGGTTGAGGCTGCAGTGAGTTTTGATCTCGCTATTATACTCCAGCCTGGGTGGCAGAGTGAGACACTGTCTCAATTGAAAAATAAATAAATAACAAAATAAAAATAAATAAATGCTTGTCTGCCGTTTGCAAGAGGCCCTGAGTGGGATCGCGGCCCCTATGGAGCAGGTCGCAGCCTCTGCCGCGGTCCTCGAACCCCGCCACTGCGCTGGCCTAGGAGCCTGCCCCACCACAGCGGCCGGCAGCTCAGTGATCCACCGGCAGCAGTTGCAGGCCCCGGGCCCTCTCACGGCAAGCAGCCGTGGGCCACCACCGTGGCCCTCAAGATGGTGAAGGTCATCATCAACTGCATGTTTGACAAGAACCTGCAGGACTTGGTCCGCGGCATCCGAAACCACAAGGGGAATGAGATTGAAGAAGAATGGGGATAGTGTCCACCAAGCCTCTGTCTTCGTTGAAGGATGCCCTTGCAGCCCTTGGGCAGTGGAAGCCTTAGAAAGTCTTCTACCTAAGTGACTGTCTACCTGCCTCCTGGTGTGGACAGCAAGGCTGGCCTGAAGGAGAGCAGCCCTCTGATACCGCACCACTCCCAATACCAGAGGCTGTGTCGGGCATGAGGTGCCAGGAGGGCAGGGAGGTTAAGCAATTTGCCTGCGGGCACCAAGTCACCCTTAGCCCATGTCCCTCTCCCTGGGAACCTGAGTTCCTGCCTTATTGTTACACTTTTCCAGAAGTGTGTGGCTTCGCCTGCCTCTGGCTTAATGAGATCATTTTTGTTCATCTCCATCCCCTTTCCCTTGGTTTTCATCATCTCAGAAGCTCTCCCTAACTGCTTTCGTGACAATGTGTAACTAACTTATGTATTCTTCAGATTCCTTTTGAGTTGAAGGCATAGCTGATTGGCCTGGATTTTATTCTACTGAGCGTGATTCACCAGATTGGAAATGTGGTTTGCTTCCTGGGAGGACTTTTTCTGCACAGGCAGGATATCCCAGTGCCCGTCCCTGCCCCCTTTAGTGCATGTCACTGAGCAGCCTGTTCTGGGATCCTGAGGACGGGCCACGGGGTCTGTCCAGTGGAGGACCATGCACTCTAGTCTGGGGCGTGGTTTTCAGGAGACTGTACCTGTCTTCACTGGGAAGCCCCTGAGCCTGGGTTTCTTCCTTTGGAATTGGTGTGAGTTGATAGTGCCTTCCCTACAGGCATGGGCCCATTCAAGCGTGTATTGGTGGTAGAAACATTTTTAGAGTAGTGCGGGGCCGTCCTTGAAATCCTAGGCTTCCTCGTAGGCCCTGCTATTGGCCAATTGGTGATTCCATGCAGGACACGCAGTGTCTGGGGGCCCTGGCTTTCTCATCGAAGGACCATCTTTATGGCCCAGAAGGTCCTTACTCAGGTGTTCGCTTCTGATTCTGGATGTTCTCTGCAGCTGCTGAAGTTTCCTGATTGGAGAGAAGCACATGACTGTTCAATGACCGTTCTAGTGGTTCCTCCCTTGCTGTGCCCCCCCAAACTTGCTTTTGAAAAGCAACTACCATGTAGACCACATGTTGTAGGTTCTTCTTCCCACCCACTGCACCCGAAATGCACACTCTTGACAGTGTGCTTTTTCTGCAGCAGTATAGTTTCCAAAAAAAGTTTTTATTTCATAAAACTTGAGTGTGGCGTCATGGAAACAGGGCTTAGCAATGATTTTGAAAGCCACATGGAAAGGCAGCGTGACGGAGTGGAAATCGCATGAAGTTTGGGAGATCTGAGTCCAAGTGCTCCGACTGGCTTAATGGGGTGGCCCACGGAGAGCCCCTGTTCTGTCTTCTCCTGTGTATCGTGGGGACATGGGATGAGTTGCCTCCCTCCTCGTGGAATGGTGCTGAGGATGCTGCAGCAAAACGTGGTTTTCTGGAAGCGCCAGAGTGCTCAGAGAGGTTGTTTAGTTCACTGTTTTGCAGTCCACAGGCTGTGACCTCTTAGTGGGTTGTAAATTCAATTTACTGGGTTATGCTAGGTAAGAAAAAGGAAAACAAACTAGAAAATACCAGCGTGCAGGCACATACAGTAGCTGTCCTGTCTTGAAACTTTGATTTCTGCATATGATTCTTGTGTGCATGTGTGAGCATATTGGGTTACCATGCACAACCCATTAAACTGAGTCCAAAAAGTAAAAAATAAAAATAAGTAAATAAATACATACCCACACTCATTTATACTCTTTAACTGTGGATATGTACAAATCTTGCAGTTTTAGGTTGAGTAGCAGATGAGTCAGGGTCTCTAAAGCCTTTTCCTACAGTTAGATTCTCTCAATGCACTTTGCTCTGGGCTGCAGAAGATTGGGTTCCCCTGGACTAAAGTTAGCTGCAATTGCATAAGTTAGGGAGGAGAGTACAGATTTGTTTCAGAGTAAAAAGCTTCTTGGCCAAGTGCGGTGGCTCACGCCTGTAATCCCAACACTTTGGAAGGCCGAGGTGGGCGGATCACGAGGTCAGGAGATCAGGACCATCCTGGCTAACAGGGTGAAACCTCGTCTCTACCAAAAATACAAAAAATTAGCCGAGTGCCTACATAGTCCAGCTACTCGGGAGGCTGAAGCAGGAGAATGGCGTGAACCTGGGAGGCAGAGCTTGCAGTGAGCCAAGATCGCGCCACTGCACTCCAGCCTGGACGACAGAGCCAGACTCCGTCTCAAAAAAAAAAAAAAGAAGAAGCTTCTTCAGTTATTGCTAGGTTTTTCCTCTTCATAAATAATATCATTACAATACTTTGGCAACATAGTAGTAATAACTCTAGAGCTAATAGAGGGAATGAAATATAGAAGTATTTCCCTATTTCATTTCCTTGAGAGAGCCTGAGATCATAGACCAAAAACTGAAGTGACCTCCATAACTAAGTATAACAGACTCTCTATTTTCAGAATAGAAATATCTTAAAAATAGAAAGTTCTAAAAGTCTAAGAATAAAGGAACTATATTTGTATCTTCAGTTATCCTAATGCATCTTCATGTGATCTTGGGCAAGTCACTTAGTACTTCTGTGTACCTCAGCTCCCATTTTGCTAGCATACTATAAATACTCAAAACACCAACATTTTGTTTATAGATGGTAGCATTTAGAACATTAATAACATCTTTGTGTTTTTTGTTGTTGTTGTTGTTGTTTTTGTCTTTGAAGGGACTACTGTAATTTTTGCTTCAACATACCCTGTTTGGGGATGATTGCTGTGGGGGGAACATTAATTATTTTAAAGTAATTGTGTTTAGTTTTCATTCTTTATTATGTATTTCTTTGCTTAGCAGACAGAAGGTGGAGCACAGACAGACGGCCAGCAGTCACAGACACAAAGTAGTGAAAATTCAGAGAGTAAATCTACCCCGAAACGGCTGCATGTCTCTAATATTCCTTTCCGCTTCCGGGACCCTGACCTCCGGCAGATGTTTGGGGTAAGTCTCTGAAGTTTTTTTATGGATTTTACAATTAAAGTAGATTTTAATCCCCCAGGTGCGTTATTAGTCATTATTACTTTGGGCTTAAACTACAAATAGATTGAGAAAGATCCTGAGATAAATCAGTCTTTTCATCAGTCTTTAGAAACCTTTTTCTATCATCCAGTGTGCTCTAGACATAGTCTTGCAGGTTGCTGCACGCATAAGGTGGCCCTATGACCCAGTTTGCTGTGACTGAGGGACTTCTTGTGATGGGAGACTTTCAGTGCTGAAACCAGGATGGTCACCCTACTCACCTACCGAACTCAGTAAACATACCAATAATATGCTTAGTTTCACCTGAAAGAGCAAACGTGCATATTCTTTTAGAGCAATAATTCCTAAACTTGTTTGCACACTGGAAATTACCTGGGAAGCTTAAAAAATATTGATATCTATGTCTCACATTCTAGGGTTGTGATTTAATTGGCCTGGAGTGTGGCTTGGGCTTAGGTATGTTTACAAGATCCCCAGCTAATACTCATGTGCACTTAAGTTTGGGGACCATTGCTTATTCATCCTGTCCCCTTCTTAGTTTTTTCCTTTGCCTTCCATGTAAGCCCAGCTCAGTACTGCCTTCTTCTCCTCTTATCTGCCTCAACTGCAAGACCAAAGAAACTAGGTTCAGGGATGCATTATTGCCACTCTCGACTTAGCTTTGTAATGTCTAAAAAGATTCACGATATAGAGAATACAGGTCTAGAGGTAGCTCATTAAAGTAGAAAGAGTATAGATTTTGGAGTCAAAGAGTCTGGGTTCAGATTCTATTCGCGTGTGAACTTTGGGATTCATGTAACCTTTTTGAATTTAAATATCATATTTGTAAACATAGAGATAGTAATCTCTACCTTTCAGAGTGTTATAAATTAAATGAAATAATATTTGTGAAAACAGTACCTCAGTGTTTTGTTTTTATAATACTTCATTGCTCATACTCCACAGTGTCAAAACCAATATCTAAAATCATTGTAGAGGATTGGTTTACTACCTCTGATGTATTCTTTCAACTGTTTATTTCCTCTTGAATCACCATCATGAAAAAAGTTAATTGCAAAGATTTAAGTTGTTGGGAAGTGAATGGCTGCTAAGGATCTTAATTTTTTCTGAGCCTGTGTGTTTTTGCTTTTTGAATTTGACCAAACTCTTAACCCAGAGATAATCAATAGGTTTTGTTTTGTTTTGTTTTTCTAATTCCACTAGGATAGCTGCCTGGTACTTTATTAGAAAAGCAAAAGCTCTTCTTTGAGTCTTGGTTGTACCCACTTCATGGTGACAAGACACTGGGGCAACATTCTGTCATTTATAGCTGACTACCTGGATATATTTTCCACACTAAAGAGAAGGCCAGAGTTGATGTTCTTGAAGTATTTGAAGAGCTTTACACAGAAAGTGGTAACCAGATATTTTCCATTTCTTCAGAGAAGAGAACAACAGAAAATAAAGGGCAGCATAAAGGACTTGGGTTATGCAGAAGAAACTTCTCGGGAGCCTGAGTTATTAGGCTCTCTACTGAATTATCAGAACTTATATACAATCTTAGTCTGTGGAGGTCTGTGAGAATGGAGTACATTCTCATCTGCCAGAGGTTTGTTTTCTCTTGAGTCAGAAAAATAGCGTCCATTGCAGATCTGCCTGGGCCAGTTAGTGATTTCTTGAAATGTATTATGCCCTTCTCATAAGGCATAAAGTGCAAAAGAAATAACTTTTTCCTTTCCAGAGATACCTAGTTGCTTTATTTTCTTCCATCTTGTGACTCTCTATTACTTAGAAGAACAGTAGCTGTGGTAAAGAGCAGGCATTCCACGCTCCATTTCATTAGCTTCATAAACTTGACGAATAGCTTCTTTTAACCTCATTCTCCTTAACCATAAAAGGAATATGATCCTTACTCCAGAAGGATATTATAAGAATGCATTAGAAAATATAAAACAAAACAAACTCCAAAGCACCATGCAAATCTTAGTTTTATAGGATAAGCATAAATGCCCTCCCATGTAAAATAAGACATTTTCCTTTTTCCATGGGTTTTCTATTAAACCAAACCAAGATGTCTTACTGTAGAAAACTTGGGTTATTAATACAAGTTTTTTGATAAAGATAGTAATGATTGAATCCAATGGAACAGCATGATTTCTGTTTTGCTCTTTCCCTTTTTCAGTTTTTTTCACATTTCCCAAAGTCTGCTTTGAAACCCAAGTGAAGTAGATAATCAGGTATGACTCCAATACTCAGAGGGAAATATGAGCCAAAAAGATATCTGGAAATTTTCTGCATGTACCTTCAATTCATTTCATCCAAGCATTGATTAAAACAGTTTTGGCTTTTTTTATATATACTTTCCCCCTAAATAATGATTGTGTTTTCTGTAACCCTCTAGTCGGCTATTTAGCTACATAACAGTAGAGTTTAGGCTTTGTGTCTTTACTTTTGTTTGCTTTTCTGAATGTTAAAATGTTTAAAGAATTACTAAAGAGAGGTGTTATTTAAAATATTCTTGATGTTTGTTGTAGAAATATTAAAGTGGTGAATAGCATGTAGCCTATAGAAGTGGTAACACAGATATATATTGACTTAGATAGTTGTTCATAATCTATTGCTAAGTTAAAAAAATAAAAGCAATATATACTTTGGGAAGCTGAGACGGGCGGATCACATGAAGTCAGGAGTTTGAGACCAGGCTGGTCAACATGGTGAAAGCCCCTCTCTACTAAAAATACAAAAATTAGCTAGGCGTGGTGGCAGGCACTCATAATCCCAGCTACTCGGGAGGCTTGAGGCAGGAGAATAGCTTGAACCCAGGAGGCACAGGTTACAGTGAGCCAAGATCGTGCCACTGGACTCTAGCCTGGGTGACAGTTCAAGACTCTTTTTTTTTTTTTTTTTAAATAAACAAAAAAGCAAATTATAGAATGTATCTGATGTCTATAGTTACTTATCTCTACATGCCTGAGGGAAAGCCTGGAATGCTGTGTACTAAAACCTTACGATGATAGGATTGCATATGATTTTTATTTTTATTTTTTTGAGACGAATTTTCGCTCTTGTTGCCCAGGCTGGAGTGCAATGGCGCGATCTCAGCTCACCGCAACCTCCGCCTCCCGGGTTCAAGTGATTCTCCTGCCTCAGCCTCCTGAGTAGCTGGGATTACAGGCACGCGCCACCATGCCCGGCTAATTTTGTATTTTTAGTAGAGATGGGGTTTCTCCATGTTGGTCAGGCTGGTCTCGAACTCCTGACCTCAGGTGATTCGGCCTCCCAAAGTGCTGGGATTACAGGCGTGAGCCACCGTGCCCGGCCGCAGATGATCTTTATTTTCTGTTTTCCCTTTTCCTTTTGTTTATGTTTTCTGCTTTTCATATAGTGAATATACTTTGTATTTAAAAAAAGGAGGGGAATAGCCTTCTATAGTATATTATTCTACTTACTAGGATTTGCTTTTCAAATCCGAGACTGTTTTAAAAAATAAAGAGATGTAGTTAGGAAAATTCCAAGTTCTTGTCCCCATACAACATCTAATGGGCTAACACTGTGAATAACTTTCGACAACAGCTTCCACACAGAGAGGTGGATAAATTGCCTGAGTGAGTGAACTGAGAAAGGAGAAACTGTCAGCTCAGCGATGAGGAAAAATCAGAAACTGGTATTGGAACTTACTAACAAATCCAAACATAGAAGTTAAATAAGGAGTTTACAGAAGAAGAAAAATAAACTATTCCCATTTCAGAAGAGATCAAAATATGTGGATAAAAACCTGACCATAAGTAAATGTTTTTATTTTTATCTCTGCAGCAGTTTGGCAAAATCCTAGATGTAGAAATAATCTTTAATGAACGTGGCTCTAAGGTAAGCTCCATTTCAGTGTCAAGTGTGCTTGATTTCTTTTTGAGTTTTGTGTTCTTTTAAATAGCAAGTATTCAGAAAACATAAACTGTTTTCAGGCCTGCATAAAAGTATCCTAAGTCCCCGTCTCTACCAAAAATACAGAAAAATTAGCCGGGCGTGGTGGCGCATGCCTGTAGTCCCAGCTACTCTGGAAGCTGAGGCAGGAGAATGGCGTGAGCCCGGGAGGCGGAGCTTGCAGTGAGCCGAGATGGTGCCACTGCACTCTAGCCTGGGCAACACAGTGAGACTCCGTCTCAAAAAAAAAAAAAAAAAAAAAAAAAAAAAAGTATCCTAAATATCTACCTTAAGGTAGATTATCTCTAAAAATAAGCTACCACATGGCCAAACTTTATTCTGATACTTATACGGGGTGGAGGGCTGATGAAGTAAGAAGCAGAGAAGGTTGAGGGCATAAACAACACAGGATGTAGGAGATGACAATGCTTTATGAGCCTTAAATTTGGCCTCAGCTTTCTCCATTTAACAAAAGAGCACAAAGACTAAAAAAAAGTGAAATTCTATGAGAATTCTATTCTGAATTCTATCAGAACAATTCAGCCAAAATCCAACTTCAAAACAACATACTTAGAACAAGTTTAATGCTTTGATTATTCAGTTAACTTGCAGTCTCTTTTGCACATTGTGATAACACCTAAACAGAGTGAGAAATAACTGAGGAATTTAGTATGAACTGATTTCCTCCTTTAAGTTCTACCCACATAGGCAATCCTCAGGATGTAGAGTCACCTAAATCACAAGTACAGTGAGTTAGATTTTTTTGCATAAGAATGAAAGTATGTGTGTACTTTTATGTGTGTATTTTCCTCTAAATGTGTTCTATATAAGAACTGAAGTTTTTAATTAAAATTTATTTCCCCTGTTAGGCTGGGCGGGGTGGCTCATGCCTGTAATCCCAGCACTTTGGGAGGCCGAGGCGGGTGGATCACCTGAGGTCAAGAGTTCAAGACCAGCCTGGCCAACATGGTGAAACTCCGTCTCTACTTAAAATACAAAAATTAGCCGGGCATGGTGGCACATGCCTGTAATCCCAGCTACTCGGGAGACTGAGACAGGAGAATCACTTGAACCCAGGAGGCAGAGGTTACAGTGAACCGAGATTGTGCCACTGCACTCCAGCCTGGGTGACAGAGCAAGACTGTCTCAAAAAAAATAAATAAATAAAAATTATTTCCCCTATTTGCTATTTTAAATTCCCAATCTATATGATTTAGAATTTCCACACATTAAAAGAAACAGCAGTGTTTTTAGGAACAAGGGAATGGCGAAGTCTTATAGTGGTATTATGGGAAAAAAAAAGTGTTTGATGAACTGAATCTTTGGACATGTTACTTGAGAGTTTTCTCACTGCTTATTAAATGAAATACATCCTACTGGAACCATCAGCCATAGCCAAGCCTATAAATATTTACCTTGCTGTTGCTACTTTGATTTGTTAGGTTAGAGCAGTTTTTTACTTAATTTTCATTTGGTCATCACTGAACTTTGAAAATAGCTTTTGGTTATGGTTAAATCTCTTAAACATGTAATTTGAGGGAAAGCTAAATAAAGCCAATAAATGAGCTAATATTTACCTCTCCAATTTCATACTCCAAATTCACCATACTTTGAGAATTGATAACAGAGTTTATATACCTCCTGCCCCCATCTGTACACATAAAAATGTATGTGCTGTTCTAATGCTACTTATTATTATTGCCTTCCTTTATAGAATGTATCAACACCAAAAGTATTTAATTCTGACTATAATAATTATTTGTTAATTATTAAAGAGGTAATTATACTCTAAGCTTCCAGTTTTCAGTTAAAACAAAAATGATTAATATGCCTATACAGAACTTTCTCCAGCACTTGGTAAGTATTTTTTAAAGTGAAGTCTATTTAGACTGCAACCAGTAAACTATTTATGCTTGTAATTTTTCTCACAATGGATTTCTGTTCCTTCGTTGCATTGTTTGTGTTTATTTTGTGTGATATTTTTTAGCTACAAGGTAGGAAAATGACAGTGGTTTAGAGATAAGAAGCACATGAGTGTAAATAAATATGTGGAGATTATTGGCCACTCTGTAAACTATCTGAAGTAGTAGTTTTAAATATTTTTACTTGTGAATGTATGTACTTAAAATATTCTTAACTAGAGTCTAACAACTAGAAGGCCAATGTAGCTTCATCAGGCATTGAGGACTTGTTCCTTACCAAGAAAATAATTTGAATTATTGTGAAGCAAAGGAAATTGATCTTTCTTGAGGCTTCTTTCATTGACTTTAAGAATTTGCCTGCTATCAATTTCTTTTTCTTTTTCTTTGTTTTTTTTTTTTTTTTTTTTTTTTTTTTTTTTTTTTTTTGAGGTAGAGTCTCACTCTGTTGCCCAGGCTAGAGTTGCAGTGGCACAGTGTTGACTCACTGCAACCTCCGCCTCCTGGGTTCAAGCGATTCTTGTGCCTCAGCCTCCAGAGTAGCTGGGATAACAGGCATGCGCTACCACCCCTGGCTAATTTTTGATATTTTTAGTACAGACAGGGTTTCACCGTGTTGGCCAGGCTGGTCTCAAACTCCTGGTCTCAAGTGATCTGCCTGCCTTGGCCTCCCACAGTACTGGGATTACAGGTGTGAGCCACCGCATCCTGGCCCCACTTTGTTTAACATTTACCTCATCCAGTTACTTCTCCCGTGTAATTTTCATTTGAAAGCAATGACATGAGCTTTCTTTTTGGGAAATCTAAAAGCATAGGCTGCTTCTGTCAGCTTGATGCTGTATCCTCACTGCCCCATTTTTCTTTGGGCTGCTAAAGGGTTCACAGACTCTGTACTAATTGGTAAATGTTTTAAAAACAAAGCACAGAATTCAGAATTGCCCTGATTCTGCCTTCAAGGACTGATAAAAATCTTGTTTTTGTCCTTCAAAGCTTTCTTAACTGCTACCTAAAGTTCTTTGCTGGAATGGATGCCCTTGGAACTGTTCTGAGGCTCCTAATAGAGATTTACTTTGGAATCAAACCCATGGATGCCTCCTCTGGGATCCACCTAAGATAAATTAATGAGCAGTTTTTGTTTTGTGAATTAAGTTTAGTGTCCTATTCCTTTTATATGTTTGAGGTTGACTGTAAAATTACAGAATATTTTGAAAATAACCAGAGAAAAGGAGGCTTTATATAGTCCTATTGTGTAGTGAAGAGCTCCTCTAACTTTTAAACAGATTGCTTTTCTGTACAGAAATTAGCTTTATTGAATTTTTTTAGAGCAGTAATGGAAGAACTCGTCACAAAATCACTCTAAGATAGCAATACTTACATGTAAAACCGTGTTTAATCAAATTGTTCCAAAACAAAAAGCAACTCCTTACCTATCTTATTTTGTATCATAAGACCATCACCCAGGGTTTTAGAATATACCCATTTGAAAACATAAGTAGACGGTGTTCCACTGCCATGCTCACAGCCTCCTTGTCTGCCAGTATTCTTCTTTTTCCAGCTTGCCTTTAGAGTAGAATTACTCTATAGTAGTTTTTTCTTTGTTGTTGACTAGTTTTTTCCTTTTTTCCTTCTTTTACCTTCATATTCTAGATTTGGTTTACTTAGATTATGGAATGAATATATACCATATTTGTGCACACACATGCATACATATATGTTTAAATTATTTCATGTGAATTTTAGTCTTTTTACTCCCTCATCCTTTGTAAAAACATAGAATCAACCATCCTGGCTAACACAGTGAAACCCTTTCTCTACTAAAAATACAGAACAAAAAAAAAAATTAACCGGGCGTGGTGGTGGGCTCCTGTGGTCCCAGCTACTCAGGAGGCTGAGGCAGGAGAATGGCATAAACCTGGGAGGTGGAGCTTGCAGTGAGCCGAGATGGCATCACTGCACTCCAGCCTGGGTAACAAAGTGAGACCTAATCTCAAAAAATAAAATAAAATAAACAAACAAACAAACATAGAATCACCTGTATCTAAGTTTCCTTGATTAACTGAAACAGAGATAGACTAGCCTTTTGAAAATGTACTATTAAGATATAGGATGGAAAATTGTACTCCTGCCAAAAAATTAACCAATTTATTCAAATAGAACTTAGAAAATTATTATATGAGTTTATGTAGCTTTATTAATTCTCCAAGTTTCACCAGTAATGAAAGATTATTAACACAAATAATAAGATCATGCCTAGTTAGAGTGACCGTATGTCCTGGCTTATCCAGGATAGCCCCAGTTTAAACCTATTATCTTCGCATAATTATTAATAAATGACCTCTTTCTCCCTCTTAAGTATCCCAGTTTGAATGATAAACTATTGTTTACTCTCCGTATATATCCTTTGGGTAGCATCTTAAAAAAGCAGTCTTTCAAAAGGAAAACATGATGCTTAATGAAAAGTATAAAGAAAAAGATACATAGTTTATTGAAGAGGAATGTTCACTACTGATATTCTCATGTATCCTTCTAGTCTTATTTTCTCATATAGAACCTTAAAACATAACCCAAAATGGTCACCTAGTTCAACCCCCTGTATTCTTGACCTTGCATTCTCTGTTAGAAATTTTTAGTGATTAAGAACTTGTTTTTTTCAAAAGTTATTCCATTGTGGATCAGACTTTCTACCATTTTATTCACCATCAGCCAGCCACAGAACAATTTTTGGTGATAATTATCAAACTTATTAAATAAAAAAATAGACAGATTGTAACATTTACGTTTTCTATAAATTTTTGCCAGAATATTTTGGTATATCATCTCTTGCATGGATATGTATTAAGATATTGAATGTGTTGAAACTGTTCAGCTCTTCAGATAGTGCTTATTATTAAGTCCACTAAAGAACTACAAATATTATACAGCCCAGAAATAATTACTGAAATTTCTAGCAATTTTTTTTTTCTTTTTTCTAAAATCAATAGATACTAGATGTACATATTTTCAGGGTATATGTGATAATCTGATACA